ATCAGACAAAGGATATACATATACAGAATACACAAAGAATTTCTACAGATCAGTAAGAAGAAGACAGAGCACCACAACAGAAAATGGGCAAAAAAACTTGAATAGACATTTCATAAGAGAAGACACTCCAATGTCCAAAAAGCATATGACAAATGCTCCATTTCATTAGTCACTGGGGAAATCAAAATTAAAATAATACATCTGATGGCTAAGTGGCTAATCATAAAGAAGGAAAAACAAAAGAAGGAAAACACCAAGCGTTGGAGAGTATACGGAGTAAGGGGAGCTCTTGTGCGCTATTGGTGGTTAGACCGGCACAGACCACTATGCAAAACCGTACGGCAGTGCCCACTAAAGCTGGTCACAGGGACACTGTGTGTTACAACAATTTCCACTTCCAGGCACATAATCAACAGAAGTGCATTCATATGTTCAAAGAAAAAGTGCTAGAATGGTCATAGGAGCAATACTAGAATATTCATAATATTCCAAACTGGAAATAACCAAACACTCATCAATAATGGATAAATAAATTTTGCTGTATTCACACACAATGGAACTCTTGTTCTGTCTTTTCTTAGATTCTGTATTTGTCTATCTGGCATTCATTTATCACAGGGCCAAACTAATGACCCAAGTTGTACCATAGAAATTAGCAAAGGCTATTATCAAGGCTTTGTTCTCCTGGAGAGCTGGCTGTTAATCGTTTACCAGCACACCACTGATTGACCTTTTTTTTTCTTTCTGGCTATAAGCCAGTGGTTCTCAAACTCGAGCTTGCGCGAGAATCACCTGGAGGACCTGTTAAAACAGACTGCCAGGATTTCTAACTGAGTAGGTCTAGGGCGGGGCTGGCGGTAGGACTTGTCCGTGCTGTTGGGAACCATGGAATCACAGAACTGGGGATCTGGAAGGGCAGGTGGTGCACAGGTTACAGGATGGCAGCCCGCAAGTGGAATTTGGCCCATACAGTGTTGCTAATAATTTTTAATTTTTTGCCAGTACTTGGGAGAGTGCATGCAGAACTCTGGATTTCTAGCTTCTCTTGAAAAGCCATTAGATCTGGTGACACTGAGCCTGGGTCCCCACAGAGTGATGATGGCCTGGAGCTGAAGAGCAACTGGTGCCTGTTTTCTACAGGCATCTGAGTTTGGGACCCTGCTAGATCAACTCCCCCTTTAAAGAGGGGGTCTCTGAGGCCCAAAGAGAGGGAAGGATTGGCCTGGAGTTGCTCGGCTATTAAAACAGTGGCCAATACATCGTCTGAACCTGTTAGCGTAGGTAGGAAAGTGACTATGAGCAAAAAACAGTACGAAACGGGCCGTGTAAACAAATGGGATACTGAGGGAAAAAACACACTACAAGATGAGGGTAGTCACAAGTGTCACAAAATGTTAGCATAAGAAAAGTGAGACATGACCGAGAAAATATGAAAGCAAACAATGCAAACAAATGAGATGACGAGTAAAAGAACATACTGTAACGAGAACAAGATGAGGGTAGCTGCAAGTGTCACAAAATATGACCCTCCAGTTGCCCCCCACCCCCCACCCCAGTGGGCTCTAGACACCACAACACATCCAGGCCTAACCATGTAAGGTAAAATACTGCCCTGCCCAACAACGGGAAGGAGACAACATCCCAATGGGGCAAGAAAAAAAAGGAGGAGAGACAAGATCAGGAGGAGAGGCCAGACAAGAGAAAAAGGGATGACACAGAGACCCCAGTGCCACTGTCCGCTGGGACATGTGCCTGCTCTTAACTCCTTTAAGAGTGAACTTTTGCTTTAATAAACTTTACTGCTTGTGACTTCAAAACCGTCTCTTGCTTTCATTCTTCCATCGCGAGCAGACAAGAACTGAGGTGTTCAGGTCAATACCTGGTAACAAACCCATCACTGAGGTGCCTTGCTCCACACAAATCACCCCCCAGCCCCTAATGGAATCCTCCTCACCCCAAGCAGCTCAAGGGAGGAGGTCTTACCCACCGATATGAGTCCTATAATTTGGGGCTGTGGTTGTCTCTGTTGTTGGAGCCATAAAAGGGCCCAAGTACTGGAAGGGACCCCAGCCCTTCCATGATTTCTCTGCGATGCCTCCAAATAACCAGCTCCTCATCACCCCCTTCAGCCATTTTAATAGCCAGTTTCCAGCCGAGTGACCTTGAGCAGATAACTTCCCCTAAATACCATTTCTTAGAGTCTAATGATACCTCACAAGGAGACAGGAGGATTAAATGAGATGGCACATGTAATGTTTTTAGCACAATGCCCAATGCTTAGGAGGCGTCAATAAACAGTAGTGATGATTATCAGTTATATTAGTATCCTCACAATATCAGTTCTCTGTCCTTGTATCATGCCCAATTCACTCTTTCATTTTATGTAAGCTATGTCCGTAAATACATAACCTCTAGGAGGTAATGGCTAGGGCTCTTGTATGTCAAACTGATCATTGCTGTTCACTACCTGGGGGACACAGAACCTAACTCTGGTCTAGAGGCCACATTCCCACCTTCCAGTGAGACTTCGGCTACCCCCTGCCCTCCCTGGACCTCAGGGATGGGCTATGCTTGGCATTTTCCTGCATTAACTTATTAAGTCCTCTTAACCACACAATGCTAGCCTCTTAACCGGAAGTACCCTCCCAATCACCCTGCGAGGGGAGGTACTGTCGTCACTTTCATTTGCAATTGGGCGACCATGGCTGAGAAAGGTTAGGTAGCACGCATGCCCTGTTAGTAGGTAGTGGGAGTGTTTCAAGACCAGTCTGACTCCAGAGTACAAGGTCACCACCATGACCTAAGCCACAGACAGGCTCACTGGCTTGGGCTTAATTGACCTGTTCTGTCTGCATTTGTGAGGTCTCAGGCCTACATGCCCTTGCCCTGCACCTAGGCCACCCCTTTTGGAAAGAAGAGGTGGCCTGGAGAGGTGATGACTCCATACAAGGTAGGGGTTGGGCAGAATTTCTGAATAAAACAGCAAACAGATATTCACTGAGGCCTACTGAGTGCCTGGTCCTAAATGCTTGTACATACTCCAGCTAAGGGCTCTGGGCACATTTCTTCCTCAGTTAGAAAGGGGTGCGTAGGGGGTAACCAAGTGACCCACATGGAATTCTTGGTCCAGCTGATCTGAAGCGTCAGTAACACAATATAGGTGATTCCTCCAAGTAGACCCGGCAAGCTGAAGGTGTAGTACACGCCGCAGGTATCATGAAGCCCCAGCACTTGGTTAAAACACACCTGGGGACAAACATCATTATAAGCAGACTTGCAGGTGAGACCATATTCCCTACCCACTCTTTTCACACACCCTTGGCATCCAGGGCCACCGAAGGGGACTGGACACCGAGGCTTGCCTAAGGAAGCACTTCTCAGACTCGAATGTGCACTCACATCATCCAGGAGGAGCTGGATTTAGCAGGTGTGGCGTGGGGCCTACCATTCTGCATTTCCTGCCAGGCCCCAGCTGATGCCAATGCTGCTGGTCTACAGACCACGCTGAGTAGCGAGGGTCTAGCACAGGCACTGTTCACGTTTCGGGCTGATAATTCTCTGCGGTGGGAGGCTGTCCTGGGCACTGCAGGCTGTTCAGCAGCTTCCCTGGCCTCTAACCACTAGATGCTAGTAGCACCCCTCGCCCAGTGTGTCAACCAAGAATGTCTCCAGATATTGGCAGATGTGCCCTGGGGGGCAATTCAGACCTGCTGGTTCAGTCCAAATTTAAGTGCAGTCCCAAAGGCAGCGTGATTGTTGAGAAGAAAAGCATCCGATCACACCTCAGATTCCCATCAGGGCTCCTTCCGCCTCACTTAGCCTCCCAGATAGCCAGGAGCCAACAGATTGGGATAAAATGTGAATTTGGTCAGGCTAGTTCCCTCCTTAGAATCCCGGTTGTCTTCGGAAGGAAAACCCAGACTCCTCCCCTGGCCCAGGCGGTATGCCTGAGCACCTCCCACCTTCCACGGCTCCGGTTCCGCCACCCTCCTGGTGTGAACCCTGAATGTCTTTGTGCTCCCTGGTTGGGCCACATGCTCTTCACACCACTGAGCCTCTGTTCACACTGTTCCTTCTGCCTGGAGTGCATTTCCCACTTCTTTGCCTGGCTAATACTTCCTATGTGTCGATGCTTGGCTGAGAGGTCCTTTGCTCTGGAAAGCATTTCCTGACCCGCTCCAGGCTGGCCTAGATGTGCTTCTGTAGCAGTTGTCACATTTTTGGTGTTTATTTGTCCACCTCCCTCACTAAACCGTAGCTTGAAAAGCAGGATGTGTGTTAAAACAGATGTGTTGAATGAATGAATGAGCGAGTGAGTGAGTGAGTGAATCATCTTTGAGTAGTCCTCCCAGGGATAGAATTGAGGAAACGGAGGCACAGAGAAAGTGATGGACACTGAGCCTGATAATAACTTGTCATGCGTTCTTTGTCGTGCACTTCCTCCTTTCATCTCAGGATTTCAAAGCCAGAGGAGAGAAAAGACATTTGTTCCCATTGCAAAGGTGAAAATCAGACCACCCCATCTTTGATCAAATCAAACTGCTGATAAGTTCTTCCTAATTTTAGGTTGAAACTGATTCCCTGAATAGCCACTACTCATCCAAATTCAGCCTTCAAAAGTCTACTCCTTTTTCTCCCATCGAGTCTTTAAATCCATGAAGATTGGCTGTCCCTCAAACTTTCTCTTAGAGGTACATAATAACCAGTTGGCTGTAATGGAGTATTCTGGTATGTTCAGTACTTCTTGAGTATTAAAGGAAGAAAGATCCATCTACTTAAAAGAAGAATTAAACAATCGGAAGTGGACATGGCCCACGTCATTGGTCCAGTGCTGCTTTGCCCACCTCCGTCGCGTGGCATGGCAGCAGGTGCGTATGGCATGGCCAGCACCACTCCCCACCGTGCCGAGGATGACACGTTATCCAAGTTAAACCAAAGCGCCCCTTCTTCACAAAATTTGGAATTGGGGCCAAGACTTCCACCTGGCTGCTTTCTTGAAGCAAAAGACTGCATTCCACCACGTGGAGGGGAGGAAGTGGCCCCACTGGGTGAGAATAAAACAGATATTCAGGAAAAGCAAAAAAGGAAGTAAAGGAGGGACTTCTCGGGCTCCCCACAACACTCTAGTCCCTGGTGCCAGCCTTCCCTGGGTTCCCTGTCCTTAGGTTCTGTGACACCCCGATAGCCTCATAACAAAGTCCCCCTTCTGCGTGAGCAAACTTGAGTGGGTTCTGTTACTTGCTCCCAACATCCTAACAAAGGCACCACCCAACCAGGGTGGGTCCCTCACCCAGGCTTTGAAGCTAACATGAGAAAGCGCCAACACCTGCCTGGTGCTGCCCGTGGTATCGCATAATGGCCCACCGGGGCCCCAGGGTCCTGCTGGTCTAAGCCAAGGCAGAGGGTACTAGTTGTCCAGTTTCTTACCGGCAGGCACTCTGCTCCCGCACTGGAGATCAGCCCAGCCACAAAGCCCAACACCATAGCGAGCCAGGGAGAAGAGATCAGGTGACACGAGGCACCCACAGCCACGCCTCCTGCCAGCACCGCATTGTGGATATGAGTCTGCAAAGAAATAGCTTGTGGGAGAATGCAGTGAGTCCCAGAGAGGACAACATCTTGCCGAAAGTTACTCCACATGCTGGGAGCAAGGCAACCCTGAAATGTCCTCCCTGCTTTGCTGAGCCCAAAACCATCCCCTCCCCTCTGTTGGGGTTACATGAGCTTCATCAACGGGCTAACTCACCCCCGCCCCTCAGGCTCAGGGTGCATGCAGTCACCCTGATGGAGAAGCATTCAGGGAATCAGCTGGAAAGCGCAGGTACTCGGTATCCTAGCCACCCTCACTCTCATTAGCGATGGGCACTGGGAAGAATGGGCCTTTGATTGTACCTACTTCCTAAGGCCATTGTAAGGATTAAGTGAGTTGCCGCATACAAAACTTTTAGCCCAGTGGCTGGCACAGAACATGAAGAAATTCCCAATAAACATAAGTCATTATTATTGTTTTTATTATTTTTTTATCATTATTATTATTGGCTCCTTGGTACCTATGTTATCCTGTGTGACCCGGTTCCAATAAGCTGGGCCTTGTTCCGGGGTCATGTCTCTGATGCCCTGGAATAGGAGCCTTGCCTCGCTCTTACCTGGCACCCTTGGCTCCAACTCGGCCTTGGATCTCTGGGCCCTGGGACCAGCTCCTGGGCTTCCCTCACCTGATGCCCACTCCTGCCTCACTGGGCGTCCCCACCTTGTCTGCTCCTAGACTTCCTGCCACCAGGGAGCTCACCTGTGGGGACACTCACCTCCCCTTAGTGCTGGAATTACACTGTGAACCTGCTGTCTGTGCCCACGTTTTCTCCACTCCAGGTCCCCTGTCTGTTCAGATTTTCCCCAGTACCTCTGGCTGGCTGACTCTGTGGCCCAGTCATCACGGAACTTGCTCTGTCTTTGGGTCTCCCTTCTCACCCAGCTCTCCCCACAAAACTCGCACACGCCATCACCCCACTATATAAATATATATATTCCCAATATCCCTCTCCCCTGCTATATTAATAATAGCAGCTGGCTGGGTGCGGTGGCTCACGCCTATAATGCCAGCACTTTGGGAAGCTAAGGGGAGAGGATCACTTGAGGCCAGAAGTGTGAGGCCACCCTGGGCAACATAGCGAGACCTTGTTTCTACAAAAAAGAATTAGCCGGGTGTGGTGGTGCATGCCTACAGCTTCAGCTACTCAGGAGACTGAGGCAGGAGGATCGCTTGAGCCCAGGAGTTTAAGGCTGCAGTGTGCTTCTATCATGCCACTGCACTCCAGCCCAGGCAACAGAGTGAGACCCTGTCTCTAAAAACAAAACAAACAATAGCAGCTCATGTTTGCCCAGAACTTACTCCTCATTAAGACTTTACGTGCATCGCTTAATTCCCACTTTACCGATAAGGCAGCTGAGGCTCAAAAAGTTGAAGTGGCTTAACCGACTAGTCACATGACTAGTGCAACATACTTCTTTACTTCTGATTCTGATAATTCCATCCTTGAGATGTCTTGGGGGAAGAGAGAGGCTAATTCTATCCTAGTCTATTGCTGCCCACTCTTGCTCACGGTGGCTGGCTTTCGGAACTAGCACGAACGAGGTTCAAACTTAGGTCTGTTTGATGTCCACACTGACCGATCTAATCACTCTGTGCAGAAAGCCTTTGAGCGTTTGACAGTCTCCTGAGTCCCAGAGCCCACTCTGGCCACCCAGCATTCTTCCTAATGCTCCACGACATTGCAGACAAGGCCTCGTCACCATCACCCAGCATGCCCTTTCCCAACACGCGGGGCTGGCACTGGAGTGGGGGAGGGGCGTGGATACGTGTTACCCAAGTGCCGTCCAAGGGACAGTCCCCTTCTCACCATGTTGATCTTCCCTTTGGGGTGAGCCCAGGCCGACACTGAGGTGGCTGTCACTGTGCTGACTGCCAGGGCATAGTAGGTGTTGAATATGGCATTCTTCCTTTCGTTTGGATCGTTCAGCAGAGCACAGTTGAAACTTGGCCAGAACGTCCACAGGAAGAGGGTGCCTGGGGGCAAGAGAGGGTTATTGGCCAGAACCACACTGCTCCTCCAAAGTCCTGCCCTCCAGGGGCTTCAGATGAAGAGAATCCTAGAGCTATGGAGTCTCCACTTTGTCACTTTCTAGCTATCATCAGCTACGTGGGCGAGTCGCGTCTCCTCTCCACATTCTCAAGTTGGCAGAGACCAGTTAACATATTTTACAGGTAAGGAAACTAAGGCCCAGAGAGATGACATCTAATGCAAACCCCAGACCCCTGAACCCAGTTTGGGATGACCAAATGCTTATTTAAAAAATACTAATGTGGTGCTTTAATTTATCTCTATATAGCCTGATACTCCTTTGTCTGCTGTCGGGCTCGCTGTCTGATTTCCCCTAAGCCCCTCCCGCAGTCTAAGCTCGTCATTTCACCACAGCTTTTCAAAATGCAGCTTTGTTACTGCTCCCACCCTAGTGCCTCTCTCCCCTCCCAAGCCCCATCTCTTCACTTGCCCAATTCCCTCCTCTCAGTTGAAGAAAAAAGGATTGGACAAATTTATTTAAACTCAAGCATAATGAGTCTTTTCTCTCCATCGGATATTAATGAAGGGAGGTCCCTGGAAAGGAATGTGTAATTCAAAGGTACGAATTTAACAGACACTACGAGAAGAAATGAGTCTTTATGACAGACACCAGGGGTAAGTTGGCAAAGCAGAGAGATTTTTCAGCTGAGCCTTTTTTGAGCCTTTCTGCTTAGCCCAAGTATGAGACCACCCACGCCACCTCATCCTTACCCAGCATGGCAAACAAACTGGGGCTCGTTGCCGTCCGATCTTTCTCCTGAGTTCCACTGGGCAGGCGCCTTGAGAGGCAATAGGCCACAGTCAGCCCAAAATAGGCCGAAAACACGTAGATGTGCATCATGTTTGCGTGATCGTCTATCTGCAACGAAACCCAGCAGGAGCAGTGAGTGTCAGCATCCTCTGCCCACGGGCAAAGCCTCATGTTTCTTGGAGAAAGTTGGAAGCTTCATGTAGGAGGTGTGAGTTGAAGCCATGAGACTGGTGTTCAGACCTCACCCAGCCAACTCATCCAGCCTTCTTCCTTCAGGGGAGCCCGCGAGTAGCCGTGTGTTTGTCCCAGGGAGGTCACTGGCTGGCCTTTCTCAGTAGCTCTTACATGCTTTGGGCTGAGATCCACTTAGATGGGGCAAAAGGCCACAGGGACACACATCCCACTGCTTCCTACTTCTCGGTGGAATTTCAGCTCTGCGTGGAGTGATGGGTGATACAAACTTGCAACATGAAGCAAGCAGCCAGACTTCTTACAATATCAAACTACAGTCTTTAGTAAATTCTAGATAGGTGCTAATTTTGCTTCATGAACATCAAATTTAGTAATCCTTAATAATTTATTTAGTGGGCTACTGGTAAATGCTGTCAGCAGTGCCTTCCAAAAATATCCATAACCAACAGAATTGTTACCACCACTCCCCATAGACTCTGCCTTGATTTAAGCCGCCATCACTGCTACCCCAAATCACTGCGATAATCTCCTAACTGGGTGCCCCGTTCCCACCCTTGTCTTCCTGCTGACTATTCTCCACGAAGCAGCAGGGGCATAAGGAGGGCAGGGTGGAGGGGGTGGCCTGCCCTGGGTGCAAGCAATAAGGGGTATGTTATCTGTAGAGGATCTCAAACAATTCTAAAGCCAGTTAAATGCCTGTCTGCTTTTAATTAGTGCCATGTGTCAACAATTCTTAACAGCGTTGGTGATAAAAACTCATCTTGGCAGCTGCAGACCCCTCCCGCCACCCTGCCATTGGTCTGCCACACCTCTCGGGTACCCACGTGACTTGTGCACTCGCTTCCTTCAGGTCTGAGCTCAAAAATCACTTACTCGGTGAAGCCTTCCCCGGCCACCCTGTCCATCCTATCTATGATAATATTTTATCCCCCCACCCGAGGCTTCACGTCTCTTTTCTCCATTTTATTTTTTCTTGGTGGTACTTATCACTATCTAACATGTTCTATTTTTTGCCTATTTTATTGTTTATTGGCAGCCTTTCCTTCTGAAATAGAAGTTCCATGACAGTTGTATTTTTCCACTGCCACAGGAGTGCCTGGTACATGATAGGTACCAAATAAATATTTGTGAAATGAATGAATGATAGTAACGAGCCCTCAATCATATGCAAAGATGAAAGCCTATGCAATTTTCTTGTAAAAACTGAAAAGAAGGCTTGCACTGCTAATCTCTTCGAGCTCCACCAGGAGTCCAGGGACCACCTGGAGAGGCTCGGAACACTCATTTCTTGAGTTGCCTCCACTGAAATGGCTCTGGTCCTCCTTGAGTCCTCCCACTGAACTAACCCAGCCTGAACTGAAGTTTTGAGGACAGTGAATTCTGAAAATCAGCGCTAAGCCTTCCCCCTAGACCAATTAAACTAGCAAGTTGAAACTTCCGAGAAAAGAGGAGATGGCGTTGTATTAATGCAGTCTTTTAAAACAATCATTATAAAGACCATAACAAAGTAGGAAAAGGTTTATGATGCACTACTCACAGTGAGTGTTCCATCTCTGAAATTTACCCTCCTCTTGACAGCCAAGTTTTTATTGTACGAACTTTCTTCCATGCCAGCTGCAGCTGGTTGGATCAGAGTAGATAAATGACCCAGTGGGCTGACCAGATTCTCTCTCCCTGGACCAAGGAACTGAGACTGACTGAGAGAGAAAAGTGTTACCTCCTGCAGGATCTGGGACATAGAAATTCAGGAATAAATGTGGGTGGGTGGGTAATTTTTCACTAACGAGAAATTAGATGTCCAAAGAGACACGAAGCCAACAGCTGGAGAGCACGGACTACCTAAGGTCACAAAGTCTTCCCACATCCGGTTCCAGTGGCTTCCTGGGTCTGGCTGCACCTCCTGTTCTGGGTGGTCCTTGTACTAACTTCCCCTCATTCTGCCTAACAAAGCTCCAATGATATTTTCTTCCTGGGAACCAAGGAGTTGTAATGAATCCTCATATAAAGCAGAGAGGAAAAGCAGAAAATGAAAGTGTGCCTACGTGAATCCATGAGCCCACAGTGATATAAATAAATAGATGAATGAATAAATGGAGCAATGCAAGCTCTTCCTTACAGAAGAATTGCAACTAACGGATGTGGAAGGGAAGATGGAAACAGAAAACCAGTATTGGCAATCATCGTCGTACTGATTGATCCAAGCAAGAACCTGTGGATGCTAAAATTAGTGGATGAAAGTCTGATGAGAAAAAGGATTTTTATAGGAAATTATCTCCTCACAAGATGTTTATTAATTATAAAGGGGAAAATAATTTTACAGTGGAAGATACTGGCAGACACCATCTTAACCAACTGATCAAAGTTAACATGCCTAGTAATGGGACAAAGGGACAGCATGTCTCCTGATGCGGTGTACTAGGAAGGACACACATCACTTTCGTGCAATTCCTGCCAAAAATGCAGACCCTCATTTTTGAGGAAACAGTAGACAAGCCCACCTTTTACAAAATAACTGGCTTGTAACTTCAAAACATGTGAAGGTCATGAAAGATAAGGACAGACGAAGAAACCGTTCCAGATACTGATGGTGTTTAACACATTAACTGTCACGAGAGTTATATTTAATTTACTTTGGTTTTGACCCCAGGACTACATGAAGCATATATAAAAATCTTACTTGTTGATGTTCTTATTCTTGCAATTAATATTGACAATTTAATTCTAAAAACGTGGATTAAATGAATAGAAGTCAATACATTTTATTTTTCTATTTATGTTTACCTTTAAATTACACTCAAAGTTTTTATTCTATTTTCATAATAAAACGCTGCGGCCACAAGGAAACGTTTCTGGTTTTTTGTGTGTGTGTGGCAGTCAATGTGTTACAAAGACATGAGAGCTAAATGCAAGGTGTGATCCCAGACCAGAAAAAAATGTTTTTTCTTTAACTAGACAGGATGCTGTTGAGACAATTGGTAAAATTTGAATAGGACGATCATATTGTATCAATGATAATTTCTCAATTTTGTTAACTGAACAATGGTTATGTAAGAGAATGCCCCTGTCTTTAGGAAATCTGCACTGAAGTATTCAGGGGTTAAAGTAGCATACACAAATAAATGAACAGAACCAAAAATTCATAAATAATAAGAACTTCCAATATTCCCTTCCAGACCATCATTCTTTTTTTCTCCCCAAACATCCCCAGTTTCCTTGAAGAAGACGCCATCACAGCCTCCCCCCATTGCTGGGCTCATCTCTCTGCCTCCGGGCTGCCCCTGGTCACCGCAGCTGTCAGCACCTGCCCTTCAGCCTTTCTCTCCATCGCTCTTCCCGGGCATCATCTTGGTCCACCCAGCTCCTCCCCTCTCGGGCCCTCGACCTCTCTCTTCTCAAATGTTTCCCTCTGTAACATTTCTGCCCCCATATCCTCTGTCAAACCTTAAGCCTTGTCATCACCTACAGCTGTGCTGCTTCCAGAAACTCAGCTGCAAGCACCCCACCTATAGCACCACCACCTCCCGTCTGTCTGGCTCACTTCCTTAAACCTCCGCCTTCAACAATTCCAATCAACTGAGCCCGATAGCAATGGCGGGGATGAAAATAACAGCCTGCCCCGGGCCAGGCACTGTTCCACACACTTTATATATGTTAACTTGTTCAACCCTCACATCAGCCCTAGGAAGGGGGTATTATTATTATTAATAATACTGTGTGGTGCTCTAGGGCTCCGTCCTCAGAGTCCACCTCTCTGTTGATCCCCATCCCTGGGGGATCTCCTTGGGCTCATGGCTTTACCCACCGTCTATACCCTAACAACTCCCAAATTTACATCCCTGGCCCCGACCTTTCCACTCAGCTTCGGACTTGTACGTTTCCATGCAGTGTCTGTACTGGGAGGCTTCACACACATCTGCGGCCCTCGCCTCAACCCTAACCCTACCACAGTCAACATGGACTCTGGCTCCTCCCTCCCAGATCTACTTCACCCCCCAATGCTCCCCATCTCAGGAAATGGCATCCTCATTCACCCAGTTGCTCCAGACCAAAACCTTGGAGTCATCGTGACCCTTCTCTGTGTCTCACACCCCACGTGCCGTTCGTCAGCAAATCCTGCCCATTCTGCCCTCAGAATGTAGCCAGGATCCAGCCTCTTCCCACCACCCCTACAGCTGTTGTCCTAATCCAAGGCGGGATTATTGCGAGAGCCGCCTCTTTGGTTTCACCTGCTTCTTCCCTTGCCCTTTCAGCAGCCAGAGTTCTCCTAAAATGCAAGTCAAACCATAGCTCTCCTCTGCCCCAAACTCCCCAATTCTCCCTGTATTTCTCAGAGTAAAATCCAAAGTCCTTACTCTGGGATACTGAGGCATAGCAAAGAGGCTTCACTTTTTTTTTTTTTTTTTTTTTTTGTAAACATGCATCATCTCATGTAATTAATTCAATTACTCCCCCAAACCCTATGTGGTAGTACTGTTATCCTCTTATTACAGATGAAGAAACTGAAGCTCTAGGAGGTTAAATTGCCCAGAGTCACACGGGGGTTTATGGCAGAGCTGGGATGCACACCCCAGTCTTTGACTCCAAGTCCTGTGCTCTTTCTCCTAAACCAGGCTGGGACTCTGGGTTCTCCTATGGGCCCTGCCAGTATCTTGCTGTGTGATCTTGGGCAGTCCCTTCCCCTCTCTGGGCATCAGCTTTCTCCCGTGTGAGAAGGGAGGTCAGTATCATCACTCAGGGTCAGGGTTATGGCAGAGGAACTCCCCACATGGGGAGAGCCACTTGGACTGGCCTCACTTTCACAGCTGGCTTCAAGCTTAGACTTGACAATCTCTCCCAGAGAGATCACACGTGCAGTTACTGACACACGCTGGTCTGAAAGAAGACGCTGGCCGTACAGCTTGCTGCGACCACTGTTGGTGGGGCCCTGGGAACTCATTCTCTTTTTATACAACAAGTAATTACCTTGTGAATAGCACAATCCTACAGGATCATATTGTGGAAGTTAAAGGCATTAGTTTACTGTGTTTAAACATTTGGCATAAATCACACTTTTGTAACCCCATTTTGGCCTGTATGTATTTTTTAAAATCCCAGAAGCCTCATCAAATGGAGGCGTGGCCCCCGTCCACCCTCTCGCCCCTCTTCCCCAAGGTCCCTTCTCACCGCACCGTGACTCACACTGAGGAAGCGCCTGTTGACCATCCTCATGGTGCTAAAGGCTGTCACCTCCAGTGGCACCATCACCGCCAGCTGCAACAAGTTAGCCTTCCCCTGGATGGCACCCAATGAGATCAGAACCGACATAGCGCTCATGGTGGCCAGCTGAATACTGGTGGAGAGAAAGAGAGCCAGGATGACTGAGAAGGAAGGATGCCGTTCATTCATTCACTCAACAAACACTGCTGGGCACCTACTCTTTGCCTGGCACTATTCAAGGCCCAGAGGACGCCGCAGGAGACAAGATTTCCACCCACGTGGGGACTGATGCTGCAGTCCGGAGTTTCCTTCGTCCCTTGCCCCATCAAGGTGGCCTCTACGCTCTGAGAGATTGATCTGCACACACTGGTCGTACTGAGGTTGCTCGGAGGTGCGGTAACGAGGCTGACTGTTCCCTCAGGCCCCCTTTTGGTATCTGACACCTGGGATTCTGCCCACGGATTCTTCTCTTCTGCCGTCATCACTCACGGATGCTCGATAGAGGGCGCTCTTCACCTGCTGGCCCACCCATGCAGTCACCCCATCCTCATCCAGGGCCACTGTCTCCCCGCTTCCTCTCCATGGCAGTGGAAAGAGACTGGTTTGGCAGTTAGGACAAGCCTGGCTTCCAGTCCCGGCCTTGCCACTTGAGCAGCTATTTGACCTTACTGAGCCTGTTTCTCCCTCTGTAAAATAATAATAATAATAATACTTATCCCCTGATAGTGCAGTGGGCATTGAAGGAATATTCTTCCTGCAGGTGTATCTAGCACCAAAACTGGCATCAAGAACTAACTGATGCATAGAGGTTGGCATTATTAACACTATTACTGGTTCCTTCCTTCCCTTGACAAATGAGCTCAGTGTGGGGCTTCTGGAGGAGCAAACAACTTCTGTCCTCAAGGTGCTTATGATCTGGCTGGGAAGACAGGGTTTACACCATGAGCCTATCGACTAAGATATCTGTGATATCACAAGGCTGGAGGGGTTCATTGGAAGGACAGAGCAATGCTGACATCATCAGGGAGGACTTCCTGGAGGAGGTGGCACTGAGCTGGATAATCCATGGACATCCACTCTCCCCAGAGCACCTTGCTCTGAGTCTCTCTCCTCCCCCTGGGAGTTAATGATGATAATGCTACCACCATAGCGACAATGATAATAATGATTTGTTAAGCATAATGCACAACAGGCTTGTCCTCATTTAAATTTTGATCCTCTGAGAGACACTCTGTAAACTGGTGCTAGGTTACCCCCTCAGCACCCCCATTTTATAGAAGAGGACGCTGAGACTAGAAAATTTGAATTTTTGGCAATGGCCACACAGCCAGTTGATGACAAATGTGAGGTTCTCACCCAGCTGGCCTGGATCCAAAGTCTGTGCTCTGAAGTCTGGACACAGCTTCCCCAGCTGACATAGTGTCCTGCTTAAGGCTCAAGGACTTCAGAGGGGGGTCAGAGAAGGGCAAAGCACACAGGGAAGCAGCCTTGTAAGGACCAGGAATTATTTAGAATAAGGGGTTCCCACCTTCCATCATGCCTGGACAGAGTGCGCCTTCTAAGTGAGCGTTCATTTCATTGACAAAGGCTTAACTCAGGAGTGTGTATGCCAGCTGTGGTATTTCAGACTGTAAGTGCCAGCTGGCACCGGGGAGGCGCAGAGACAGTGCAGTGCAGGGGTGAGGAGTGCAGTCTTGAGTCTAGGCTGTCTGGGCTGGAATCCTGATCCAGCCACTTTCTGGCTGTGTGATCTTGGACAGATTACTTAACCACTCTGTGCCTCAGTGCCTTCATCTATAAGGTGGAGGCAATGCCTCTGGAGCTGTTGTGAGGATGAAGGGAGTTGATGTAAGTCAAGTGCAAGAAGAGGGTTTGATATTGCTGTTATCTTCTAGGGAGAGTCCTCTTGGACCTTTCAAAACACAGCATTAAAATATCCTTTAATTTTTGTTTTTGTTCTAATAACCATTTACCAAGTTCTTAGTATGTGAAGAAAACAAAGGAGGGCAAAGTTGAATAAAATAGGCCTCTGCCCTGAAGGGACTCAGGCAGACCAGAGTGAGGCCAAGGGAGAGGACCCTGTCCCCAGAGGCAGGCCTGGGCACCGCCTGTCAGCCCCGCCCTGGCTGGGACTCGTCAGCAAGGAGCCCATTGTTCAAATCTGCAAAGCCAGTCTCAGCGGGGGTCACAGCTAGGAGGGTCCAGTGGTCAGGACTGGGGCAGGGGGTTCGCTCAAGCTGCGGATGGCCCCATCTTGTCTTCCTGGATCGAGTGGAGAACGGGTCCCCGTGGACAAGAGGAGGGAACAGCCCTTAGACGCCTTCTGCTCCACACTGCCACGGTGCAGAGGCTGAAGGCTAGTGTGACCTTAAGTCAAGGCAGCAGAAATGCCAGACCAGGGCCACCGCTGTCAGAATTCCCCCAGAGTGCCCTTTGCCACTTCCCGGGTGGATACCGGGGATTTGTGAATCCACATGGGAATTACCTCTAAAACTTGTAAAAAGGAAAAATGTGGACAGCCCCCCCCTGCACAGGGCCAGTGGGGAGCTGGCTAGACTGTTTTTCACATATGACCACTCTGGAGAGTGTGGGAAGGGTTTCAGATGGTTAAAAGCTGAAGCCATCTTCACCACTGAGCTGTGTGACCCTAGGCAAGTGTTTTACGCTCTCTTGAGCCTCCATTTCCTTGCCTGTATACCAGTAGGCCCCTACCTGGAAGAGTTAAACAAAACAATATTTGTGGAGTGGCTAGCAAAGTGCCTGGCACAGCACCTGGCTCAGGGAGAGATGTTCAACAGGCATGCCCAGAGGTTTAGCAGGGGCTCAGAGGGGAGGCTGCAGTGGCCTTGAGAGGTCCCCAAGATGCCTAAAATGAGAGTTGGATAAAACAAAAACATAACTTTTTTTTTTTTTGAGACAGAGTCTCACTTTGTTGCCCTGGCTAGAGTGAGTGCCTTGGCGTCAGCCTAGCTCACAGCAACCTCACACTCCTGGGCTCAAGCGATCCTACTGCCTCAGCTTCCCAGGTAGCTGGGACTACAGGCATGCGCCACCATGCCCGGCTAATTTTTTTCTACATATTTTTAGCTGTCCAATTAATTTCTTTCTATTTTTGGTAGAGACGGGGTCTCGCTCTTGCTCAGGCTGGTTTCGAACTCCTGAGCTCAAACAATCCGCCTGCCTCGGACTCCCAAAGTGCTAGGATTACAGGCGTGAGCCACCGCACCCGGCCAAAGACATAACTTTTAAGGAAAAATTTAACCCAGTTCCTCCTATCAAGTGCTAATGCCTTTTTTAAAAGTGTATAGCTTGACGTGTAACTGTCACCCAAGTTCACATAGAGAACATTTTCTGCACCCCATAAGCTTATTTTGTACCCCTTCCTCATCAAGATCCACCTCCTTGCCTGAGTAACCACTACTCTGGGTTCTGGCACTGTGGGTTAGTTTTGCTAGTTCTTACCGTCTCATGTAAATGCATGCAAACGGATCATCGTTAATCTAAGGAAAGTGAAGACCTGGCTATTTCTTTACCACCAGCATTTGTGGACTAAGAGTCCTTCCTTTTTAAGAGGCTGTCTCTCTGGGTGTGACATTTCTATTTATTTTTGTCTAATCTCTTTTTCTTAATTTTTCTATGAACCGATATTGTAACTTTACAAAATCATAATTGATAATTTTTAAAAAATGCAGGGAGTGCTGTAGACTTGGACCCCTTGTGATACCACAGAGTAGGGCGGACTGATAAAATACAAGATGCCCAGTTAAATTTGAGTTTAAGGTAAATAACGAATAATCTTTTAGTGTAAGGATGTCCTAAATATTGCATGGGATTGGTGCTAGAAAGAGAAGGGGATATCCCAGATATTCTAGACCTGTGCTCTCCAGCTCCATGCCCTCGAGGACCCGAAAGCAATCCAGCCACCATCCAGGTACCTGAGGAGTCTGATGACCACCTTCCCGTTAGAGAAGTTTTCCAGGAAGCCATCCAGCAGGAGTGCCCACTGCACCCCGAGCACCAGCAAGAAGAGGCTGAAGGCCACACTGCTCCAGCTGTATCTCCGCAAAGATGAGGCCAGAAAGCCCATGCCAAGGGCGGCCATGACGGTGACATCCTGGAAGGCTGCCCAGGGAGGAGAGGGCGAAAAGGAGAAGGGGGAAGCAGACAAGGCGGAGGGTGGTGTGTGATTAGAGTTTTTACAGAGTGGCAGCTGGTAGGAACATTTGGGATCATTTACAAGTGCTTGGGCAAATTACTTCTCTTTCAGCCTCAATTTTCTCATCTGAATAATGAGGATAACACACACATACCGAGGGAAGGAGTAGAGGAGCTGAGGCTGGTTAAGCACTTAAGGCAGGGCCTGGCCCCTAGTGAGTGTTCAGAAAATGTAGCAATTACTGTTATTATTAAACATAATGATATGGACACGTGTAGAGCATCAGGACCTGTGCTTGGCACATAGCCGACATTCAGTATACAAGGTAATTGCTGCTGTTATTAGGATCAGGTTCAACCCCTTGGTCAGGCACATGGCAAAATAAGGCCATGGTAGCTGAGTGACTTGGCGCAGGTCGCACAGGAAAGAGGGGCAGGGGCAGGCCCAGTGCTTCTGTTGGTGAGAACCAAATTATCTTTGCAGAAAACCTCTCTCCCTTTGTCACCTGCTGTGAGGGACCTGGTGGGCTAGCAGAAAACACTAGGTGGCCCTCACCTTTCCTGGCCTCAGATGCTGAGCATGGGCTACTGTGGCAGGTGAGTGGGAGAGATGCACCCGATGGCAGGGAGAGGTCCAGCAAAGGGAAAGGGTGAGCACTTTAATTCCAATTTTGAAAAATGGTTAACAGCTTAGTCTCCAAAACTTGGGTTCAAATCAGTGCTCTGGCATTTTCTAGCCGTGCGGTCTTGATCTAGTTACTTAACTGAGTTTTAATCACAGCCTACACTTATTAAGTGTTTGCCATGTGCCAACACTGTTTTAATCACTTTACATAGATTATCTTGTTTCGTTCTCACAACCGCCCTTTGAGGTGGGTGCTGTCAGTATCACCATTTTACAGATACGAAAACCAAGGCACAGAGGCGTTAAGTAACTTCCCAGCTGGTAGAGCCAGGATTTAAACCTCAATAGTCTGCTGGAGCCTGGGCCTTTGACTATCTGCCCTCTTCATGTTCTCATCCGCTATATGGGAGAAATAATCATACCTCTTCCATTAGGTTGCCAGAGTCAAATGGTACAATGCACGTGATTGCTCAGAATAGTAAAGGCTATTTTCTCAATAAACATCAACTATTTTCACACATGTGTAAATGCCTGGAGAGAGATCTTGAAGGACTTTTTTTTTTGCTCCCACAGATATTGTGTCTGAGTTTGGGAGATTTTTACTTTCTCTTATGTTTGGTTTTCAAATTTTCTGCAACCAGTGTGTAGACAATAAACAATTTTTTAAAAAAGGAAAAAAGCATTGGCTTCGAATTCAGACAGCTCTGTCTGATCCCAGCTTTATCAAGTGCTATTAGGTTAAACTTTATTAGATTGCCAACAGTTGACCATGTTGACCTATAAAAACGATAATTTATATGTTTCAACCTCATGGCCCTGTGGCTTTATACAGTGCTTACTTTCCTCATGAGCAATTATACCAGCTCAGAGGGAGCCGGGAAATCTGAAGCAAATAATGTTTTGTTCAAGTGTTTGGTACAGTACCTGGCACATGGAGAACATTCAACAAATGGTGGCAATTCATCATCATCATCATTATGATAATCACAGCAGTAAGGACTCACCTGCCACTGGTCTCCAGCCCTGATTTGGATAACAATGAGGAAACTCTGATTATCAGAACTCTTCAAAGAGAGCTTTCTCCAGAAAGCCCCTTGGATTTACAAAGTCCACTTAAATTCACCTCCATTGAAAAATACACATACCTAGGGTGGGGCACATAGGACTTGGGAGGGTGTGGATATTCCTAAATCAATCTGACAACATCAGGATACAGGAGGCCCCCAAGGACCTCAATAGGACCTGGGGATTTGGAGAGCGGGAGAGAAGTGGGCATTAGGGAGGATTCAACTCTCTGCACCTCCTCCGACATGGGGGAGGGAGGGGGCAGGGAATGCTTCCATCTCCTGCTGGCATCCTCTTAGAGTGGGAGTGGGGTGGGCACATTTTCCTTTTGGGATCACTCAAATTCCTTCAGGAGCCAAGGAGGAAATATGGGTACCAAGGTGCACATTTGGGAGCAGTGAGGCCTGTGGCCAATTGGAGGCTGCATGCCCCCCTGGAGATATTCAAATTCTACCTTTTATTAAACACTGTTAAACAAAAATGCATCTGCCATTTTGCAGCAAAGTTTTTTGCTTGGGTTCCGGCTTTCTTGAGGTTTCCTTGGTTAGGGGATCCCTCCATTTCCCTCCCATTTTATAGAAGGGTACCAGAGAGAGCCTATGACTTTCTCAAGGCCACACAGCACACCAGCAGCAGAGCTCAGCTCTGAACTCCTGGAACAGTGCCCTTCTACAAGCTAGGCTGTCCCTAGTTCTTTTTCCCCTCACCTTGCTAAAGGACCTTAGGCAAGTTGCTTGCCCTCTTTGGGCCTCAATTTCCCTATCTGTAACACATAGGAGTTGGACCAAATACTCTCTAAGTCCCTTACGGCTCTGAAAATTCCAAGGAGGGTGCTATTAGGAGGGTGGGGAGAGGAGAGTCACCTCCTGGTGGGAGGTGGGGCAGAGGTGGGGCCCTAAAGATCAGAAAGTCAGAGGATCCTGGGTGGGGGACTTTATCAGACATGCCTGCTGCCCCAATTCTGGGTATAAGAGCTCAGGGCCTTGCTCCCCAAGACCACATGCTATCCCTGAGGAAGAAATTGTGTTTCAGCCAACAAGATGGAATTAGGGCAGCGGTTTCCAAGAGCTGTTGACAGAGCCCATGCACCCAGGCTGGTCAGAAAACATTTTTTTTTTTGCGTCCTCTTCTTCGGCTGCTGCTTCCTCCTCCTTCTTTTTTTGGTGTCCTGGTGGTGTTGTGTGCTCCTTGCTACTCCTCTTACATCTCACTACCTGGGCCCTGCCCCAGGGCTGGGTCCCAGCTCAGAGCAGCCCCACTGTGGCAGTCTCCACCTCTCAGAGCCTGGTCCGCACCCACATCAGCCACGGGTCTGATAAGCTGATGGACGCTAAGGTGTTCAGGGGTGATAAGGATGTGCTACAGGGGCCCCCGGTGACTAGGACCAGAGGGGAATTTTACAGTCTAAAGCAGGCCTTCAGGAAAAGTTTATGACAGCCCCATGACTTGGAGAAAGAAAGTCTAACCTGGGAGTCCAGCCATGAGAGATGAGGCAATAATTACCATCATTGTAACGGCAGGCACACAGAGGGGGCCCTCCACATACCAGGCACTGTTCTAAGTGCCTTACAGCCCACAACAAACTCGTGCGGCAGGTACTATTGATTGTCCCCATCGTAGGGATGGGGAAAGGTAGCCACAAAGAGGTGCTATTAATATAACTCGCCCAAGCCACCCGGCTAGTAAATGGTGGCAGGATTTGAAGCCTAACTATCTGGGTTTAACCACTGTATCATCCTGCCTCTCCATGTAGCATATGTAGTGTAATGGTGAATAGTGTGGGTCTCTGAATCAGGTTGTCAGGGTTCAGAGTCTGGCTCCGCCTCTATGTCCCAGCTTCCTGATCTCTAAAATGGGCGTGAAACAATGGCACCTGCTCCATGGATTGCTGTGGGCATTGAGCTTGCTGGCTCAGGCAAATCACTTTGCCCAGCACTGGGTGCATGGTGAGTGTTGGTAGCTATTACCCCATGACTGCCACTTATTAGCTGTTTGACTTTAGGCAAAACTGTTCCCTCTCCAGGCCTGTTGTAAAGAGTCCACTTGCAAAGAGTTCATTTGGATAATAGCAGTTAGGCCTTTTGAGTACATATCCATGGGCAGCTGCCTCCTCCAGCCTGGTGCCCTTGTGATTCTGGATCTGCGCCACCCCCACTCTTGCCCCTCCCTCTGGCCTGCAGAAATTTCAGCACTAACATCTCTGATGCCAGACCCAGCTTTTGTCCCCCAGGCTCCAGGCTTGACCTCTACACTGTGCTCCCCACTGCTGACTAGGAAGACCTTGGTGCCATCCATGGAGCCCCACACTGCTTCCTCCTCCCTCACAGCCTCTAGTCCCACCCACTCTCATCCCTGCAGCAGCCTGGGAAGAGAAAAAGAGATTTCCCAAAGGGGAAGCCCAGGGCTGAGAAGCGGAAGGTGCCAGGGTTTGGGGTATTTACATGTCACTGGGAACATCCCTCTTGTCTTCTAGGAGCCCTTCTCCCTGCCTCTGAAGAGTATGGGGGTGGGAGAGGGCCACTGGGTGGTATCTACAGAAGAACTGCCCAGCTGAGCCCAGACCAATTGCTGAATGAACCCCAGAATCACGATCATGAGTAAATAAAAAGGTTGCTATTTTAAGCTACTAAGTTTGGGGTGATTGTTATACAGCAATAGATAACTGATACACTGTGCTTCCCTAAGCATCTCTCAGGCAGCTCAACTCCAAGTCCAGATTGAACATATCATTGTTCACTTACCCCACAACCTGTCCCTGCCCTTGTGCCTCTCATCTCTGGACCTGGTGCCTCTACATGCCACATCATACATCTGCAAGCAATCCTCTGCTCCTTCCTCTTTGCACCAAGGGCAGCTGATTTTATCTCCCAAATATCTCTGGAATCCGACTCCCTGCTTCTCCTCCACTGCCCTGGCCCATTTGGCCTCATCATAGGTCATCCAGACTAGTGTTCATTAGAGCAAGAACTCATGCCTCAGAAGACACCCAAGACAATCAGCAGGGGTGGCTGGAAGAAAATATTAGCACTTCTAGTTTTATTTATTTTTAACCTAAAAAATTAAAGTTTACAAATAATAAAAGCTAACACTTTTTTCATCAGTCTTTGTGTGTTAATTTTTTTAATGTTTTCGGTAACTTAACGAAAAAGTTCTATCACCATCTGATAGGGGTTGTATACTTTCCCAAGGTCTCACAGCTAATAAGATGCTGAGGCAAGATTTGAATCAGTCTAGCACCAGGAGTTCTCAAACTTTCATGTGCGTTGGAATCATCTAGAGGGCTTGTTAAAACACAGATTGCTGGGCCCCACCCCCAGAGTTCCTGGTCACTACGTCTAGGCTGGGGCCTGAGAATCTGCATTTTTAATATGTTCCCAGGGGGTGCTGAGGCAGCTGGTCTGGGGACCACACTTTGAGAACCACTGATCTAGGCTATTTTACCACTAAAGGAACTTGGTGAAGTTTGCAACTCTGCAAGTATGAAATATTCAGATTGACCTTCACTTGCTCAGGATGTCTGATAGCCTCGAGTCTCCTTGCTTTGAAAGGTGTCTGTTGTAGTTTGGATGTTTGTCCCCTCCAAATCTCATGTTGAAATTTGATCCCCAAGGTTGGATGAGAGGCTTAACAGGAGGTGTTGGGGTCCTGGGGATCAGATCGCACATGAGTAGCTTAATGCCCTTCCTGGTGGGGGATAGTGAGT